CAGGCACGCTCTTTGCAGGTGAGACACTCTTGCGGCGTTTCTCAGACAACGTCTGATCGGATTCATCAAATGCGTCTTCATCCTCATCAGACGATACGAAAGGGCCTCGGCGACGTCCTCGTTGTGCCTTGCGCGGAACAGACTCCGCTTGCTCATTTACGTTGCTGATCTTTCGCCGCTTGGCTGGCCTTGGTGAGGGCGGGAAGGCAGGCGTGTTCTCTTTCTCGGCCTGCGTCGCGGCATCGAGAAACTCGGTGTCGTCGAACTCGTCGCCGTATTCATCACTCTCGTCCATTGCGCGGGTGTTTGCGAAGCGGCGACACTTTTAGTGGCGTTGTGAGGTAAATGTCGCGACGCGTCGTTTTCTAGCGCGTTTTGGCGCAGATGGATGGGGCAGGTGTGGTGGACCCCTGCAGCCCTGGAGTCCAGGCTACCACTGGTAAGGTTCCAGCCGACGTGCCTCGATATGACGCCGCCGGCCCGACAAGGCTTACCACACGGGGCATAGTCGAAACCCAATATAAGCACAACGGAGCCACTACTCGCCAAACCCCTATGTACTGACTAGTAGTGTAACAGTGCAATAAAAAGCGAGATGGCCTGCCCCGGATTCTCAGTGTGTGCGCCAACGTTCGTTCTTTATTCTGATTCAGCCTTCAAGTACTCGTACTTCCCACGCTCGCTTACCGTATCTTCAGTATACCTGTATTAATCCTCACAATCGAACCGCTATTTACAACCTTCGAGTAATACCCAAACCCAAACCAAATTCAAGATGAAGTACTCCGCTGTTCTCCTCTTCGCCATTGGCGCCTTCGCTCTTCCCCAAGATGCGTCTGTTACCAGCGCCCCAGCGGCTGCCGCCATTCCTAGCGGTCTCTCTCCCGCTATCAGCTGTGCCATGGACTGCGACGCCGGTGATGTGAACTGCCAGGCTGCATGCTTGGGCAACGCTCGCCCCAACGCCTCCCAGGCTATCGCAACCAACGAATGTGCCGCCAAATGCGACCAGGGCGATGGCTCTACCTCCGACTCCATTGCCTACGCCAAGTGCGTCGACAGCTGCATCAACAGCCTTTTCCCCAGCAGCCAAACCGCTTTTGCCCCTGGCGCTGCTGGTGGCGCTGTTGCTTCCGGCTCTGCTTCTGGTTCTGCTGCTGCAGGTGCCTCTGCCTCTGCTACCGGCTCTGCCAACCCTACGGCTACCTCAGGTATGATTGTCATCGGCAGTAGATTCTGCTCATTTTTGTACTAACAATAACCCAGGAGACTCTGCCTCTGCCTCTGGAACCGAATCTGGCTCCGGAGCTGGTGCCGCCTCCACTGGTGCCGCTGACAAGGCTTCAGCTCGTATCGCTGGTGCCGGTCTCGCCGGTCTTTTGGCCATCTTCGCCTTGTAAACTTCTTCATCTACAATTTGGAACTTGCTAGGAGTTGATCCTTTGGTGGGAAATGAGGTGAGAGTTGATGAGGGAAAAAACAAACGGAACATGGCTATATCATAGTTGGATGTTGAACTTCTCGTGCGCGGAAGACAGCAGCCTATGGTGATACGATCTGTTTGGCGGCAAGATGCAGACAACGTGCAGAACAATTCAATCATACTGCCGTTCTAAGGAATGTACATGACCTATTGTCGCATGGGTATTTGTTGTTTTGACAAGCTGTTTTACTGTTAAACCTCATAACAAAGAGAAGTAGGAGGGTTATAAGGAGTACTTCCTACATAGTTACAACATCATCTTAATACAACAAGTTTTCAACAGTATTCTGTGAAACGCGTGAGCTATCGTTCCGAGTTGCAGTCGCTGAGGAGGGGGATCCGCACTGGGGATGCTAGCGCAGCTAATGTTGGCGCTGGCTCGTGCGTCTTCCATGCAGGTCAGCGGCTTGACCTCGGCAGGCAGATGTCATCAAGGCCCCACCCCGACCATGACAAGTGCCCGCACACCTTGAAGAAATCAGGGTAATCCATCATGAACATATCCAGCCGGAACAGGAAATGGCGATCTCTGCGCCTTTCGCAAAACGAGGCAGTTTATCGGTACTGGAGCCGAGCGTTGTTTGTTGCGATCACGAACGGTGCCAGCACATTCCCAGCTCCCCATGGTCGAGGCAGTATTGGCAAGCATGACGGTGCGGACACGGCTGTGTAAGTGGTTATATCTGCCCTCGGACCGAAAGTTTGATTGTTGTCGCTGAAAACCTTGCTCGATCAATGGGCATGAAAAGGGGCTTTGCGCGCCGTTGATGGACAGAAAACAGATAGTTTCCGGCACGGTTATGGCTCTTCGACCGATCTGCAAGCGCCTGTCGTTCCCGCATGCACCAAACTAGAGTGCGAGTCTAGGTAGGCGTCGCCGATAACCACCTTGCTGCGCTCTACTGTCGCAAAGTGACGTCCTGGTGATTCAGCGCATTTCACGAATAGCGTTTTGAGTGTTGAATGTGCCTTGAACATCTTTCAGCCACCGGTTGATTGCGGCCAGTACCCTCCTGCACTGTACACGACCGCGCAACTCGCAATGCGTGTACCGACTTGCCCAAGTCTGCCTATCGCCGTGTACCAGACGACGTAGTTCTCGTAGTTTTCATGGCGGAACCGGATCGCGTGGCTTTTGAATCCAGTTCATGGCAAAAAGAACCTAAAGACCGCCCCTTCAAGATGAGACAATGCTAACACATCCCCAACCGCCATGCTGAACCATGCTGGGTTCAAAACTTTCACGAGGTACTTTGCTGAGGCATGAAACGTCTCTGTAAACCAGACGCGGTGGAGGGGGGGTTGGAAGCGATATGTTGTGAGTGGGCAGGTCCTTGACGGAAAATGATGTGCACTATTGAGTGTTGGTCGTGAAAGCCACCGTGAGATGTCCCGATAACGCAAATATAAGATAACGCTGTGGAGCTCTGAGATCACTCAAAGTCTTGTGACTATAGGACTCTGCATCGCTATACGAGCGCAAGCGATGACGAAGAAGACTCTTCGCTGTTATCGCTTATTCGTCAACACGGGTAGGCATGGGCACAAGATAGTTGTGTCGCAACTTCAGAGATGAAGTCAATGAGGTCTTTAAACTGTGACCTGCCTGTAGGACCAGAGCAGTGTCGAAATCCGGTCCCGCCTCTGCTGCTCATAGACAGACTGATCTGCAAGGCGCATTTCGACAATCACTCCACGCCTGTCTTGGCGCAAGAGTGTTGTGAGATATCGCAAGCTGAGTCCTCGGTCACTTGGCGGAGTTTAGTCACCAACACGTTCGAAACGGCTCCCAAGTTCGAGTGAGGCCCAGCGAAGGAGGGACTGGCGCGCTCCGCGCAGAACCGGATAGGCCACTTTGGTTAGGGTCGGTTGCAAGCCTGGTGAGTGCGCCGGGTCGCACACGCAAGTCACTGTCAACGAGACGGCTGCTTTGACAAGCCGTGTTTTGACATCGGTGTCGTCTTCTGCGAAAATCCCATCAAAGCCCATGAGACGGTGCGTGGGCCACATTGTTGCTGCAAGTGCGCGAGCTGATGTGCGCCAACGATCACGTTAGCGAATGCCGGCAACAGCGAATGAGAAGCGGGCAATCTGAGGCCGACGAGGGTTGCTAGGGTGCGGCTGGGTGTCTGGGTGTTTCGAAGGGGGGCAACAAGGCAGCCGACACGATATGACTGAATGCGTCTGCTAGCGTCCCTTGTCTGCGGACCTAGCAATGCCGCTGGGTAATCCCGCGAACCGCACGGGTTGCAGGCACATGTGCGACACGACCATGGGCGGCGTTGGAGCTTCACCACCAGATGGCAGTCGACGATGGAGACGATCGGGCCGTCTGAACCAGGCTGATTTGGCCGGAACAGGTGGATGTGTAAGAGAGTCAGACGCGACTGGGCCTAGTGTGGCAGGGCCGCAGAAAGGAATAACAATAAACGATCCAGGCGCTCTGCGTTTCCGGACACATGCGCGGGCAATGAGGCGCATGTCCTGACTCTGCCAGCTTGGGTGACGCAATGTGTGCTGTGGAAGATTCGGCATCAAGCCTTTCCATCCACGGATCTCTGCCAAACGACGAGGTCTCGTTAAGACCAGTCGACCCTTGTCGGCGCTAAATCGAGTTAGACGATGGACTGTACCATACATCGCCTCCTTCCAACCTTCGTCGCCGCGCCCACGCCATCATCACAGCACTCGATACCAGATCAGTAGGCCTGGCGAAATGTCGAGGCGCACGCAATCGATGAGATGTGATGAATATAATGCCTCAATTTGATGAAACCGAGTAGTGACTCGAACGACGCAGCCTGTCCGCTGGCCTATACAAGTGGACATGACTGAGACAAGCGGAGCAACTGCACATTACAGAGATAGTCGCCGCATGATGGGCGCGTTGCCGGTGTATGTCAGACAGGGGTGGTGGAGATCGTTGAAGGATGAAGCCGTGTGAACATGAACGTGCAAAAACCATCAAAAGAACACATCGTGACAAAGGACCCATCAGCGCCCCCATCGTTTGCCGAACGACGCATCTGTACGGCGTGGGCAGGCGCGGGCGCTGCTGTCAGGGTGCTGTGGTTAGCAGCACCGATGAGAAAGATGAGATATGCGTAAGAAAGAACCTAGGTCCCACGGACGTAGCCTTGGGCCTAGCTTGGCACCGTTAGACCCATACTACAGCGAGTCCGCCATCTTCGAATTCCTTCAACCACTGCTCCCTTCTTCACTAATTCTTCCCCACACCACGCTTTCTTTCGTCTAACCGCGAAACCTCTCCCGGTTTCGCCATCGGCCCCATCAAGCCAGCCGTCTTGAACCCCGAAAATACTCACCTTTGACCTACTACTTCACAAGTTCGCGTGTATGCGCTGATGGGCCTTCTCATGCTGCGTTGATATCCGCACTTGACGGGCTTCTTTCTAGCGACAACCCTGGCGACAGCCCGCGCCTGCCTTGAAAGGGTTCTTCGCCGTCCTTTGCCTCGGCCTTTTCATTGATTCTGCCTTCTTCTGCAGTAATCGGCATGGCGGACACGAAGAACGGCGAAGGCGAGGCTCCGTCTTCGACGGCTGGGGACCAGTCCAATGCACCATCACCGCGCAACGAAGATGACGCGCAAAGCAATCAACAGCATCAACCCAGCGCTGCATCAGAAGTAGCGCCTTCGAAATCAACTAGCAAGGCTTCTACCAGAAATTCGACACCTGCTGCTTCTTTGGAAGTACGGGAGCCTGCACAAAACCCCAACGACGCGTCTTCTGCCATGGACGACGTGCAACCATCACCCGAGGCGGCCAACGTCGCTTCAAATCAGTCCAAAGCATCGTCAAAGGAGCCAGATCAAAACGGTGAGGCGCTATCGTCATACGGTACGCGATCGCGCGGCCGTCCTGGCAGGTCGCGACCTAATTATGCTGAGGACACCGAAATGGACTTCGAAATGGGAGCTGCAGCCACAAATGGCAACGCATCTGATCCGCCGTCGCGTAATTCTATGGCTCCCGAAAACGGCCACTCTGCCAGTGTGGGTGGGAAGAAAGGTTCCGCCTCTGCACAAGGCAATGCATCGTGGGGTAATTCCGGAACCAACACTAAAGAGACCGCGCCGAATCCTCATATTTCCGGCACACCAGCAACAGCTGCGTCGACTCAGTCAAGCACACCACAACCGCAGCCCGCAACCAAACGACGCAAAAATGCTGCGAATGGCGCAAATGGTAGTCACGCGAGTGCCGCTGCGCCAAGCCAAGCAGGGGCGAAGCGCGGAAGCCATGCCAGCGCCATGGTAGCCGCCAACAGCGCGCGAGAGACCAACATGATGACGTTCGAAAATACGGGTGCTTTCCTCAAGGACGGTCACTTGGAAGCCGACGATGGCCAAATTCTTTCAGTCAACGGTAAGTTTTGATTTGCTTTGGCTGCAGCTGACGGTCGCTCCGTTACGCCAGCCACGTCTTGCGGCTTGATTTCCGTTTTCTAATTGGATGTGCAGATCAGGTGTACCTCGTGTGCGAGCCGCCCGGCGAGCCTTACTACCTCTGCCGGGTTATGGAATTTATCCACGTCGACAACGACCCCAAGAAGCGGATAGAGTCCATGCGAGTCAATTGGTTCTATCGCCCACGAGATGTCCAGCGCTACAACAATGACACTCGTCTGGTCTACGCGACCATGCACTCTGATCTATGCCCTCTGGCGTCTTTACGGGGAAAATGCCAAATCTTGCATCGGAGCGAAATCGGCGACCTTGACGAGTATCGCAAAACGAAAGACAGCTTCTGGTTCAACCAGGTTTTTGACCGCTTCATTCATCGCTGGTACGATGTCATTCCCGTCTCATCGGTTATCAACGTACCCGACAAGGTCAAGAAAGCCCTGGACGAGCGGTGGAAGTACATCTGTCTCGAGACGAGTCGGGTAAAGGAACTCACAAGCGCTGTTAAGAGCTGCAAGCGTTGTGTTGGATATTGCGCAGCGTAAGTCTCCATTTACCCATCCACGTGACGGAGCTAACCTGATTAGGAATGACTCCGTTGAGTGCGCAGTGTGTCACAACACCTATCACATGAACTGCGTGCGCCCACCATTACTCAAAAAACCATCTCGTGGATTTGCTTGGGCTTGTGGTCCATGTAGCAGAGCGCAAGAGAAGAAGTTGGAGGCCCGCCTGGGTACCACTCACGAAGATGCCGAAGAGGAAGAAGTCATAGATGAGGAAGAGGAGGAAGCAAGCGGCGATACCAATGCAGACACACCGGACCCCGATTCCCAAGTCGACACACATCCTGCAACACAGGCCGAGATTGCTTTGGCTAAGATGTGGCCTATGCGATATCTTGGCATACACTGCCGGGTAGAGGACGCACTGCAGTACGACGATCGGGCCATTTACCCTCGCGCAAGTTCTCGGCTGGGACCTCGACATCAAGCAAACGTCAACGTCTGGCATGGACACCCTGTGGAACTGGTCAAACCTGCGGAGATTAAGAAACGCTACGTCAAGGCTGCGGGTAACAAGAAGGAAGGCAAGCTATCGAAAGAGACGGTAGCCGCGATCGAAGCAGACAAGGCGGAGAAGGCTAAGCGCCCTAAGTGGGTAATGGACGAGCCGCCTGGTTATGTTCGTCGTGGTGAAGACCTGCCGAACAAGGACTCCAAGTGTACCGCGGAATTGATGTTCAAGATGCCTCCACTAGGAGTACACTCCACTCGAGGAGAAGACAACGCTCCCAACGTCACGGAAGATCAAGTAAAAGCCTACATGAATCGGGCAAGGGCATTGGCCAAGTCGCATGTTGGGGTGGAACCGTACAACACGAACTTCTTGGATCGGTGCTTGACGCTCTTCACCAAATATCAGTACGACGCGGATGTAGCCTTGAAGCATGTCAAGAAGATCGACAAGCGGAAAGACTTGAAAGAACCAGAGCTGACCAAGGAAGAAGAGAAGAAGTGGAACGAAGGTGTGGCAAAATATGGTTCTGAGATCAGGCTCGTCCGCCAGCACACAAGCAAGACCATGTTCTACGGGGATGCCGTGCGCTATTACTACATGTGGAAGAAGACACCCAAAGGAAGAGAGATCTGGGGCTCTTACAGCAGCCGCAAGGGCCGCAGCAAGAAGGTTGAACCTGACGCACAATCCCGGCTTGTTGACGACGTAGCGGATGCCGCAGACGACTCGGCTTTCGACAGCGCAAAGGCCGTTCAGCGCAAGCGGCTTTTCCAGTGCAAGTTCTGCACAGTTCGCCACTCTCGCCAATGGAGACGCGCGCCTGGCGTGACACCTGGTCAAGTGATACCCCCCGATGGTCGTTCCAAGGACAAAACCGGATTCCTCATCGCCCTCTGCCTGCGCTGCGCGAATTTATGGCGCAAGTATGCAGTGACATGGGAAAATGTAGACGAGATCGCAAAGAAGGTCGCGCAGGGTGGAGGTAAGGCGTGGAAGCGTCGCATTGACGAGGAGCTCCTGCGTGAGGTCTACGCCGCGCAGTCGGACCCCAGCTCCAAGAACCCCACTCCGGAGTACGTCGAGATGCCGGCTGCTATCGTCCAACCGATTGCAGAGCCACCGAAGAAGAAGCAGAAAACTGCCGCCATTACCAACGGAGACAGTGGAACAACAACTCCTGTCAACGAGCCTGTCTCGAAGAAGAAAGAAAAAGAGAAGGCTACCCCGGCGCCCAAAGCCCCAACTCCACCACCAGTTCCTGCGCCTCCAAAACTGAAGCCTTTGCCATGCGCTGTATGTCGGTCGTCGGAAGGTACGCGTCTAGAATGCGCAGCCTGTCGGTTGACTGTTCACAAACCTTGTTACGGTGTCGAAGATACGCGACAGGCAAACAAGTGGTATTGCGATCCATGCAAGAACGACAAGAAAGAGAGTGTGTCATATGTAAGTTGCAGGTTCGCCATTTCAGATATCATGCTGACCATCAAAAGACGTACGAGTGCGTTCTCTGCCCACAGCAGGAGACCGAGCAAGAGTTCTATGAACAACCGAAGATTACGCACAAGAAGAGGACGGACCGTGATCGCGAAAGGGAGCGCCTAGAGAAGGAGCTTATTGACAAAGCCAAGGACGAGTATCGCCTTCGGCAACAAGAGAAGGGTCGACCGCTTGTACCCCGTGAACCGCTCAAGCGCACCGCTGACAACAACTGGGTGCACGTGTATTGTGCAATATGGCATCCTGAAATCAAGTTCAGCAGCGCGACACGTCTCGACATGGTGGAGGGAATAGGAGCACCAACACTTCGGTACGACGCAGTCTGTAAGCTTTGCAAGACAACCGACGGCGCATGCACATCGTGCCTGCAGTGCCACGCGACTTTCCATGTTGGCTGCGCGCACAGCAACGGATATACATTCGGATTCGACATGACCCCAGTCAAGGTCTCTCGCAGAGATGCCGTACCTACGGTGACTATGAACGGAGAGACGGGTACTCTGATCGCCGCGATCTGGTGTAAAGACCACGCTCCCAAGACTGTTGTCCACCCAATGAATGAACCCGTAGATGGAACAGACCTGATTGCGCTTCAGCTGTTCGCGCGGGAGTTCAAGCAGGCTGACCTCACCCTGACTGGTACCGCGCGCAAAGCCAATCTGGTGGACCAATCGACACGCATCGTACCCCAAATCGTGCCTGCGCCGGCCAACCGCCGAGCATCTGCAGTCGCAGCGCCCACACCCACGTCAGCCCGAGGTCGACAGTCCAACGCTGGTATATCAGTCAAGGAAGAGTCAAGCGAGCCAGCGGCGCCCAAGCCTGAGCGTAAATGCGTGCGCTGCAAGATCGAATCTAGCCCACGATGGTGGAAACTTGACGAGGAAACGGCAGCAACGCAAGCGCCTCGTATAGTAGACGGACCAATCGACCGCGACGGTACTGCAGATATGAACGGCCACATCGAGAAGAAGCCCGTCGTCGAGGAAGGCCAAATCGTCAACGGCAATGGCCAAGGCGATCAGCCAATGACTGATGCGCCAGCTGTTGCTTCACCAGCACACAAAACCTTGCGGCTCAACACGGATGTGGACGCGGCTCCTTCAGCTGCATATATGTGCCAGAAGTGTCATTGGAAGAAGCAAAATGGCAAAGATGATGAGGAGGAAGAGCGAGCGAGATCAGTTTCGATCTTCAAAGAGCCACCACAAACCTATCCACTGCCCGCGACTCAAATTCCACCATATCCACCACCACCACCAGCTTTGGCAGGAGGTTGGGCGCTACCAGGCGGCCAAATACCAGGTCAGCCTCCGCCGTTGCCCTCATGGCACAGCGGTGTTCCTCCAGGGCCTGGGCATCCCCCACACCACATGCCCAACGGAAACGGTTACGGGCCACCACCACTACAAGCTCCACCTGTTGGCCATATTCCTGCATTCCACGCGCCATATCCGCCTCAGCCGAATGGGTATGCAGCCTTTTCAGGCGCACCGATGCACTCGGCGATAGCAGCGGCAGGGCTTCGGCCACCGTACTCTGGACCACCCATTAGTGGACCTCCCCAGTTGCACCACAACAACGGCGCGATGATGGTCAACGGGGCTATGCAATCACCACGGACAATGCCCTATTCTCCAACCCATCCTCACGCACATCCTGCGTCGCGTGAAAGCCCATTCACTGCTCCTCCTCCAGTAGCACAGTACCCTGTGCTCCACCACGGAAGCCCTGCACCTGGCAGACCGGCAACACCCATGGATACAGTGATGCGGGAGGCACCAACCGTCACGTCTGCGCCCACTGAGCGCGCCAACACGGGGGCTAGTGCCAGTCCATCTCTTCGCAACTTGTTACATTAGACTTTCCTTTCGCTGGTTATCCTTTCTATCTGTACACGCGGTTTCATTTGACCTTCAAGCATGGGACCGGAGTTGAAGCCTTTGGGCGTTTTCTATGTTCAGCGCCCGACGGCGGAATATACGTCACGGTGACGTAGCATTGCGAAACATGCGGGGACCTCTGGAGTCTACAGTGGAATGGCGGAAGTATAGAGTGCGATAGTGAGGTCTTCATTGGGCATGTTAATCAGGCGTTCGGTGGCATTATACCACAACGTTTAGTCTGTGTTTTGTTTCTTTTTTGCTTTAGGTTAGGGAAGCCGGCATCCCAACGGCACTGAATTTGATCCAACCTATCATTATGACATGTCCATTGTGCGCGCATCAGTGCTGCGAGGTTCTCCGCGTAACTCAATCTGTATCCCAACAGTACTTTACAATGTGATGTGCGAAAAAAGAAAGCATCTTGCTGCAGCGGCAACAGCGGCGGATGATTGCTGTCTAGCGGGAAGACGCGCTACTCAACACGTAACACAAGGAAGTGTATGTTTCAATATAAAGAATCGAACCTCACCGACTGTTGCATCATGGTTCACGCGCATTTTCCAACGCAATAAATGCCACAGCCACATTTTGACAGATGAGGATGCGGAGTGAAGTCCGCCACATCCGGCCAGGCGGGCAAGGAACAAGCTTTCAGCCCTGCAGGGCACGGGACGCGCTCCACTCCTTTCCACGCGTCCCTTGCAGACCAGAGCTCCCCCGACCTCCCCAACCTCGAGGCTTCAGTTGCCCCAGCCACAATCTTCGTCACTTCTTTTTTTGGTTGTTCTTTTTGTCACTCATTCAATTCGTCGTCGTTTCCATAAGTTTCCATTTCCTTCTCCTCAAGCCACTTCCTTAGTTATTTACTATCGAAGGTCAGCAGCCATTCAACAGCCGCTCGCGCATCCATCCCATCTTGAAACCCAACACACCCACGCCTCACACATCTGAAACAATACCCGTTGCCAACCCACTCCACACGCGACACACCTCCCTCTCGGGAGCCTAACCGACCGAAGGACAGAACGACGTAGCAGTGGCGCAGCTGTCCCATTAACCGCTCATATCGGCCATATCATCCTCCCTGAATTGCGGCACATACTGGGCTTATACCAGTCGATCTTCCCATCTGCGATCCAACGTAGACATCCACGACTCGCACTACTATCTCTGCTGAGAATACACACACCGCAGTTATGATTTCATTAACAAAGAGATACTGCGTCGAATTTGATGACGGATCGAGGGAGTGTGGCTTTGACGACAATGGCTTTTGGTACTCAGACGTATGTTTGGCTCATCACCCAGTGGTCTTCACAGGACTTCGAACTAACAAGATGACAGAAAGGCATAATCGTCAAATGGATTATCCTCGCAGCTTTCTTTCTCATATTCTTCGGTTGGTTTGTAGGAGGCCGCATCCACGCAAAGCAACGTCTGAGGAAGGGCCTACCGTTGCTCTCATACCATCGCGTACGTTACCCCTCTTCTCCAACACACGCAACCCTTCATATACTAACGGTCACAACAGTTCCTCATATCCTACTCTGAACGCCGCCGTCATGGTCAGGTCCCCCAGAACCACTTCACCTTCTACCAAACGCAAAACCCCTACGCACCTAACGCACCAAACCCGCAATACACACAAAGACAGGACGGTACATGGGCAGAACCCCCGCCGCTGTACCAGAACACTGATGCACCGCCCCAATACTTTGCGCCCCCTCCTCCCGGCGCCACCAAGATGAACCCGAACCAAGGAGCTCAGGGTATGGAGATGCCGGTATACGGTGCCCCACCACAAGGAGTACCGCAACAAGCCGGACCTCAACAGAGCGGCGTTGTCGGTTCCGATGTCGAGCAAGGACAATCACAAGAACTGCCACCTCGGCCAGCAAAGGCCAAGATTATGGGTGTTTTGGATAGATTCAGACGGTAGATAGGATGCACATACAAAACAGCTGCAAAAGGCGGATATACAAGATCGTGACTGGATCACGTTGATTGCATTTGATGTATAACAAGCGTTACAAACTATCCATAATAATTTCATGACCAACTACCAATAATACCATTCACTCAAGCAATCATTCAAATCAGTCAATGTCCATGGCATCTCCGTCCCCCTCTACAGGTGACGCCATAGCTCGGGGTATCGCATCCATAATCCTCGGTCCTCCAACCACACTACTATCCCTACCCAGATCCACATCCACAGGCTCCGTCACGGGATTAACCTGCTTATCCCTAATCCTCTGCCGCGCCTCTACAATCGCCTTGCGCACATTATCCTGCGCCTCGGGCACCGTCAAACTGCTCGGCACATTATACAGCACCAACTGGTTCTTATCCGTGGGCTTGGGCTCTGGGCCCTGTAAGATGTGCTGAGGGATTTTGGAGAGGTGCTTCTCGATGTCGGAGAGGAAGATGGGCGTTTCCTCGTCGGATTCTAGGTCTGAGAGTTCGGCGCTTAGGTCCGAGATATAGACGCGGTGGGGCGTGTCTTCTATCTCCATGCCGCATGCTTCTTGGGAGGGGCTGGCGCGGACGTGGCGTGGCTTGCGGGGTTGTTGGCGACGTGGTGAGACGAAAGCTAGAGGGTCGCCGTAGGAGGTTGCGCCTTGGGGATGCCGGGGGAGGGGGGCGTCGGTTGAGCCTGGGACGGGGATGTAGAGGCGTGTGCCATTGTTGTCTACTGTACTGTTGTTAGAAGGGGGTTCCCATGTGTAAAGTGTAATGGGAAGAGCGTACCTAGGTTCAGCAGGTCGAACCGCTTACTCAGCCGCTGTTCATTCTCGAGCGAGCTGTCGGCGGCTCTCTTGGTGCCATGGGGCGCATTCTGTTGTTGCGCGAAGGGACGAGGGGAGCTAGCGACTTGCGCCATGCATCGCAGCTTTGGCAGGAAATCGTGCTACAAGTACTCCCGAAGACAGCCGATTGGTAGGCGTGGTGTGATGGATTAGCGATAGTGCTGGTGTTGGGATCGGGACATGGCGGTTGTTATACTGGGAGCGTGGTCGTCTAGGCGCACTTACGTGAAGCTTCCAGAAGGGCTGAGGCGCGCCATGTCGGTCCTCCGAAGCTCCTGGGCCCGCCATCGACAGGACAGCCCCGCAGTTTGCTGCTGCAGCTCTCGGCGCCCGCACCCTGCCCACATGTTTTCGTGAATGCTGCTACCAACGCGAGCTGCCCCTCTGAGTCACCATACGGTTAGACGCCTGCCCTTGCTCGCGACCCGTCACTCGCACCTTCTTCGTTCGCATTCGCCTCGGCTCGTCATCCCTAGACGCTGCACGAGACTCTTCACCTGCACACGCCTTCTCGACCTGCCCCTCCTCCACGGCAACGCGCCGGCCGCAAACATGTCGCTCGTTGAAGAGAAGCACGAATGGGGCGCCGTCCGCGTGCGCCAGACTTTCCTGGATTACTTCAAGGAGCGCGGACACACGTTTGGTGCGTTTCCGTCTCAGTGTTCGAGAGTTGACATCTCCTGATGCTATGAGTCCAACATGTCCAAGAATGCCAATTGACAGCAAACAGTGCCTTCCTCATCCGTCGTGCCCCTCTCCGACCCCACCCTCCTCTTCACCAATGCGGGCATGAACCAGTACAAGGCCATCTTCCAAGGCACCGTCGACCCCTCGTCCGACTTCGCACAGCTCAAGCGCGCCGCCAACTCGCAAAAGTGCATTCGCGCCGGTGGAAAGCACAATGACCTCGACGATGTGGGCAAGGACAGTTACCACCACACCTTCTTCGAGATGCTGGGCAACTGGAGTTTCGGCGACTACTTCAAGACGGAGGCGGTAGGCTTCACCTGGGAGCTGCTCACAAAGGTCTACGGCATAGATCCCAAGAGGTTATACGTCACATACTTTGAGGGCGTGCCAGGTGAGCTGGAGCCGGATCTGGAAGCCAAGGAGCTGTGGAAGAGCGTGGGCGTACCGGAAGACCACATCTTGCCTGGTGACATGAAGGACAACTTCTGGGAGATGGGTGACCAGGGCCCATGTGGACCTTGCTCAGAGGTACACTACGACCTGAGGGAACCAGTCAATGGAGAGTACAGGAACGCTGCGTCGCTCGTCAACATGGACGACCCCGAGGTCATCGAGATCTGGAACAACGTCTTCATGCAGTACAACCGCGAGCCCGACCGATCACTACGACCGCTACCGAACAAGCACATCGATACCGGTATGGGATACGAGCGATTGGTCTCAGTGCTGCAGCACAAAAAGTCCAACTACGACACCGACGTCTTCACACCACTGTTCAAGAGGATACAGGAGATTACTGGAGCGCGGGAATACAGGGGCAACTTTGGAGACCAGGACCCAGATGGTATCGACACTGCATACCGCGTCGTCGCGGACCACGTTCGCATGATGAGCTTTGCCATTGCTGACGGTGGTGTGCCGAACAATGTCGGTCGGGGATACGTCGTTCGCCGAGTGCTTCGGAGAGGTGCACGATACGCGCGCAAATACTTCGAGACGGAAATCGGCGACTTCTTCTCCAAGATTGTACCTACGCTGGTTGAACAAATGGGCGACATGTTCCCCGAGATCAAGAAGAAGCAACAAGACATCATGGAGATTCTGGACGAGGAAGAAAAGGCATTCGCCAAGTCGTTAGATCGCGGTGAGGTCATCTTCGAAAAGTACGCGCAAAAGGCCAAGGTCAAGGGCTCGGATGAGCTGCCAGGAGACGATGTTTGGCGGTTATACGACACCTACGGTTTCCCTGTTGATCTGACGAAGCTCATGGCTGAAGAGCGCGGCTTGAAGATCAAGGACGAGGAGGTTGAGGCGGCACAAGAGAAGGCTCGCGAAGCTAGCAAGGGAGATAAGAAGGCTGGTGCCGTAGTCGTCAAGTTCGACGTACACGACCTTGGTGCGCTGGAGAACATGCCCGAAGTCCCAAAGACCGACGACTCCGCCAAGTTTGGCCGCGAAAACATCACCGCTACCATCAAGGCGATATATCACAACAAGAAGTTTCTCAAGAGCACGAAAGAGGTACCGGAAGGCGAGCAGTTCGGTGTCTTGCTTGACAAGACAAACTTCTACGCCGAGCAGGGTGGTCAAGAATTCGATACTGGAAGGTTACTTGTAGATGGCGAGGCCGAGATCAGTATCGAGAACGTGCAGGTGTATGCCGGCTACGTGTTGCACACTGGATACATCAAGTACGGCGAGTTGAGCGTAGGCAGCGAGGTCATTGCAGAGTTCGACGAGCTCCGGAGACATCCCATCCGCAACAACCACACCGGTACCCACGTCCTCAACTACGCTCTTCGGGAAGTCCTTGGTAACGAGGTCGACCAGAAGGGTTCTCTAGTCGCACCAGAGAAGCTGCGTTTCGACTTCTCGCACAAGGCTGGTCTGTCAGATGCAGAGCTAGACAAGGTCGAGAAGATCTCGTCCGAGTACATCAAGCAGGATTCACAAGTCTACGCCAAAGAAGTACCACTCGCATCCGCAAAGGAGATCCGTGGTGTCCGCGCCGTCTTCGGCGAGACCTACCCTGACCCCGTCCGCGTCGTCTCCGTCGGCGTCCCAGTCGAAGAGCTCCTCAGCGACGTCAAGAACGAGAAGTGGGAAAAGCTCTCCATCGAATTCTGCGGCGGCACCCACGTCCTCAAGACAGGCGAGATCAAAGAACTCGTCATCCTCGAGGAATCCGGCATCGCCAAGGGCATCCGCCGCATCGTCGCTGTCACCGGCCAAGAAGCCTACAACGTCCAACGCATCGCGCGCGAATTTCAAGAACGCGTTCAAGCCATGGGCAAGATGGCTTTTGGCCCCGCCAAAGAAGCCGAAGCGAAGAAAATCGGCGTCGACCTCAACAACCTGACCATCTCTGCCATCGCAAAGACCAAGCTGCGAGAGGAGTTCGCCAAGATCCAAAAGAGCATTCTGGACGAGCAGAAGACTGCTGCGAAGGCCGATAACAAGCGTGTGCTCGATGAAGTGACCAAGTTCTTCGAGGACGACAGCAAGAAGTTCATGGTGAAGAAGCTCGAGTGGTCGAGCACGGTTAACAAGGCTATCAGCGAGGCTATCAAGACTGTCTCTGGTCCGAAGAGTGCACTCAAGGATCGGAGTTTGTATCTTTTCTCTGCTTCGCCCGAGGAGGGTAAGGTTGTGCATGGGTGTTATGTTAGTGAGGTATGTCGTCCCCTTCTTCTATTCTCTTTCTCCTTTTCCTTTGACAACGATTGCTGACATATACAACACAGCCGTTCAAGAACGCAGGCGCCGACGGACCCAAATGGGCCGCTGCTGTTACTCCCATTATCGGTGGTAAGGCGGGTGGCAAGCCGGGCGCCCCTACCGCAATTGGCCAGGGTACGAATGCGGATAAGGTTGATGAGGGTGTTGCGGAAGCGACCAAGTTCATTGAGAGTCTTAAGCTCTAAGGTCGTTCGGTTGGACTGTGAGGGTGCGTGTATGATCCAGTCGCTGTACTGCGAGATGGCATGAAGCTTAGACGTTACGAAGATCAATGCATGTGTATGACTTGTACTGCTTGCTTCGAATAAACTATGTCTTCCTGTTCTGACTGTCAGGTCAAGTATGCAACTAATATCACAATGTGGCACTTCATCACTTTGTAGTTCTGGCAAAAAACACCAGTTTGAAGTTAACAATAAGGGTTCCACCTTATGCAAGGGAAAGCCTGAACAGGTCTGCAGACTACATTAACATACAAACATGCAAGGTGAGTTGTTTGACGGTAATGTAGACTCTTCAGTAGTTAGTTTTTTTTCTTACATTAACGTAGTTCTGCGTTAATGCAGGCTCTATAGTGTGTAGTTTTCTTTAGATTAACGTAGTTCTACATCATCATAGACTCTATAGTGTTTATTTATTTTCTTAGGTTGACGTAGTTGGTTCTAGAGAAAGCAACAAATAATAAACTGCACCGCTCATCCCCTCCACACCAAAAACACATACCACACGCCCCCCAGCACTACCACCGTCCTCAAACTCGTCCTGAGTTCCCACCAAAACAGTGCTAATCCCTTTCTCCGTTTCCGCGGCTTCTTGGATACTTTGGTACTCGCGCCGTAGACTCTGACCTTCTTATCTCCCGCATCGTCGTCGACGTCGAAGTCTTTGGCGGGATCGTAGCCGGCGTGTTGGATCAAGGGGAGTTGGTATTTCGACTGTTGCTGTTGTTGGTGTTGGGTTCGTGTTTGAGTAGTCGCTCGAGCGGATAGGTTGCCGTTTCGTTCAGAGGAGGTCGATGAGTTAGAGGAATGGGATTCCTTTTCCAAGGTAGTAGCGGGAGTGTTGGTAGTAGGCAATAACGGACTTTCCGCCTTTTCGTCCTCGCCATTCGAGACAACGCCTAGCATAACGCCCGCCGCGCGAACGAACAGCAGCAACAGCGTTAGTCCGAACAGACTTCCGTATCTCAGAAACGTGCCAATCTGGTCAGGCAGCAGACACAACTTCGTTTGAATCGTCTTACTCGCACCCCCCCCATTCAACGGCTTCCCAAGCGTATCAACTGGATTCCACAGACTAACCAGCACAACACCGGGAAGCCTGACGCCCATAGCCCAGCTAATGCTTTTGACCGTGATCTCGCGTATGCCGCCGCCAGCACTGGTATACGCTTTATGCACCAACTCGCAGTAGTCGTGGTCGTCGCCTGAGAAAGCATACCGGATATCACCGACCTTCTCAGCGATATCAGCGGTGATCTCGCGGTTGAGCACGTTTTGGTATTGGTAGCCGCCGCGGACAGATATGGCGTTTCGGTCGTCGTGGTCGAGGGGAGGTTGGCCCGGTGGGGGAGGCGTCGGGGGCCAGTGTTCGCGGAGGGGGCCGCAGGGTGTGCCTGGGGCGCGGTAGAGGGGCACGTGGGTTAGGAGAATGGTGGGAAATTCGGTGATGTCGTCGTTGGCGTGGGGGAGGGGGGAGGTTGCGAGGTCTTGCGCGGAGATTGCGTGGTGTGGCATGCCTGGATAGGGTCGCAGGCCCTGTTGCGCTCGTAGTTCGCGTTGGATGAGGCGCTTTTTGCGCTTCTTTGCGTCGGAGAGGAATTCTTTCGTAGGGCGCCATATCTTTTCGACTTGTTCGGGAGATTCCTGGCCGAATGCGCTCAGGGAGACGCTGTCGATTGAGACGAAGGTGTGGTTTGCGATGACGTCGATTCGGTTGCCGTCGCCAAAGTAGGCTTCAAATCGGTTTCGGACGCCTTCTTGTACTCCTTTGGCAAATCCCAGGTCATGGTTACCAGGTAGACTGCTTATGAGCTTCCGTCCAGGCTGTCCTGGTCTCGCCTGCATGCCGCCATCACCCCAGTGCTTGAAGAAGATGTTCCCGAATCTTCTGTACTCGTTCATCCAAAAGTCGTCGCCATATTTGCGGTACTGCTTCTCCGGCGAGGTAGTTGTGCGCGTAGACCATTCGCGGCCACCGTCGAAGAGATCGCCGAGGAAGAAGATAGTGTCGGGGTATAGGACGGTCTGGAAGCGAGAATAGGTGCGACGGAGGTACAGATCGGTGTATTTGTAGGCTAGAGGATTGAGGGGCCACGGGCGGCCGGGGTAGGTGTGCGGATCTATGAGTTGCGGATCGGCGACGAAGATGAGTCTGTGAGGGTTTGCGCCGGTTTCCTAAAGTTGCGATTAATTTTGCATAATCTAGTAAATATTGCGAGATATAGACGTACCCAGTCCTCCCACTTGTCCCAGTGGCAGCTCTCGACGGCGCTGTTGAAGATACCTCTCTCGCCCCAGTACAGAACCACCCACCACAGCAGCACCAGCCCGTTCACGAGGGTAAAGAGCCGCTTAAAGCTCCAATTCCCACTTCGCAGCTCATTTCTCTTTCCCTGCACAGCAGGTCGTATGCGATATAGAAAGAAGGCTCTGCCCAACCGCCATGCTTGGTGTGTCAAGCTCTCGGGTTCTGAGTATGCGCCGACGGGAATGCCATACTCGTCGTAAGTGGTCATTGTCTGTCAAAGGAATGAAGGAGTTGCTGGCGCAGCATTTTTGAGGAAGGATGCACGTGAGGGGAAACGTTACGCAGTCGTGAGCATGTCGCCTGCGTAATGCTCAAAGGGGGACGGGTTGCGGCGTGTTCATGGTCTGGGGAAAATGCGGCCCAGGGTCCGAGGCTGATCCAAGGCTGATCTGCCGCCGCTACCATGGCACGAGGGGCTCGACTCTCTGCAGTGTAACCCTGCTAACCAGGTGAATGCATAAATGGTACAAACATCACAGGAGTACGCCAATGGAACTTTCATCTGAAATATGCAAGTGATATCATTTCGAACATGCTAAAAGTACAAACAACATTTTCCCTCCCTTTAGTACTCAAGTGTCACCTCTTGACCCTTGACCCGACCGATAACGATCTCGGGGGCGTACTTGGGGATAACCTCATCGTCGTGAAGCATCTCAAATTCCTCTGACGCGTCCTTGCCCATGTGGCTGAAGAGCGCCTGAGGACCTCCTGGGTGCTCATCTGTCCAGTTGGTGACATCCATGACAATGCCCTTTACTGCAATCCATAAATCATCCTTCTTGTTGTGCTTTGCAACCTCCTCGAGCGAGAACTCCTTGTCTGGAATGCTGAACTTCTTGGGTGCGTTAGGCTTGGAAACCTTTCCTGGGTCGTTGGAGTCGCCGTTTGACGACATGACAGGTGCGGAAGACAGCTGCTTTTGTTGCTCAACGGGGTCTGATGAAGAGCTGGCTTGAGCGTTTCCGCTGACACCGTTGCCCCACTCGACGGAGACCTTGCCCGGTTGCGATGGGTCGATGTGCAGCGAGATCTGACCGAGACGGTTGACAGCGGCACCACCAGACTTGTTAAGCGCTTGTTGGAAAAGGTACTTGGAAGCAGACTCTCCTGCTACACGACCGTAGACGACACAGCCAAGAAGTGATGAACCACCGAGACGGTTGGCACCGTGGACACCACCAGCAAGCTCACCGCAGACGTACAGACCGTCGAACGGCTTGCCGTCGGAGTTCAAGCACTGTGCTTGGTCGTTGATCTCGATACCACCCATGGTGAAATGGAGAACAGGCTCCATCTGCGCAACGTGGAAGGTGTCGTTGATGTCGAAGGGCAGGTTGTGGAAGTACTTCTTGTTCCACTCATCCTTCTTCTCGCCCTTAGCAATGGCGTTGTAGCTTTGGAACTCGGCCTGGAGGTCCTTGTCGCTGACACCAATCTCCTTGGCGAGCTCCGCACCAGTCATCTTCTTCATCAGGCCACGGCCGGAGTAATGTCTTGTGTGGAAGTCGAGGACGTTGGATGCCTTGGAGTTGAGGACGAGGCGAATGGGCCAGTTGCCCTTCTCCTTCTCAGTCCACATCATGCCGGAGACGTAGTCGCGGTGACCGAGGTCGTCGCAGAAGCGCTTGCCCTTGTTGTTGAGAAGGATACCACCCTCACCACGGAGAGCTAGAGACTGTTAGCATGAGAAAGATATATGTCGGTGATGCACGTACCTTCGGCGGCCAAGAACTTGGTCTTCGCTGTAGGGTCCTTGGGGTCGACAAGACCGGTAGGGTGCACTTGGACCTTGTCCATGTCGATGCCGTTGGCACCAATCTTCATCAGCATCTTGTGTCCGTCACCGGTAGCGTGAGCACCGTTGGTGGTGGAGAGGTCGTAGGTGTCTGGCCTCCACTTCTTCAGAAGAGAGTCCTCTGTGAAGTCGGCGGCGTAACCACCAGTCGCCAGAATGACGGGTCCCTCGAGTGTCGTCTCCTCGCCGCCGAATGAGTATGTGACACCGGTGGCACGGTTGCCCTCTGTGTTGATCTTGGAGACCTTGGCCTTCTTGACGAGCTGGACGCGCTCTGGCTCCTGTTCGGCCAACTCCTCGAATCGTTGCATCAGAGCGTATGTGATGGCCATACCGGGGAATTTGGCATCGTGGCCACGGTGGGTACGGGGTTGGGAGTGACCGCTGTCAAAGTCAGTACATGTGTCAGATTCGGGAATACTGTCGGACGTACCCCAATCGCGAGACGAGAGTGAGGTCTAGGTTGAAGACGTCCATCAGCCACTCGACGGCAGCAGCGGACTTGTAGGTCAGGACCTTGATCAGGTCTGGCCGCGCCTTGTCTCGCGCAGACTTGAGTGTGTCATCGTAGAACTGCTTGACGCTGTCGCCGATCTTCTCGTCGACTTGCGTCCTTGTAAGAGCACCGTTGATTCCCGATGTGGCCTTCGTAGAGTTGCCTCCCATGAAGTTGTTCTTGTCGAGGAGAACAACATTTCCACCAGCGAGGTAGATGGTGTGAGCAGCGCTCAAGCCGGACACTGCCGTCGTGGTTAGCCATGCGCGTGACGGTGTATGATGCGGTGATGCTTACAGCCAGCGCCAACAACAATGACTCTCTCAGGCATAGTGGTGGATGCGGTTGAAGAGGGAAGGGGAGAAAAGACGGGGTATGGAGAGAGAGCAGATGAAGGCGAAAAGTCTGGGGATCGGCTTCTGCTTTGTATGGATGCAACGGATGGCTGCTCGGCTTCCGTCTAGCACTTGAAGCGCAACTTGTGCCTCGGAAGTGGAGAATGCGCTAACCCGCATGCACTTCCAAGGTTGTCGCCGCGCGGGCCAATCACGCGGCGGCGGTTTGTCTGCTGGCAATGTGTGAGCATCACCAAGCCCGGCCTGCGCTGCGCTGCTGATGTGAATATTGAGCAACGGTCCAGCTGTTGCATGTGAAGACGCTCGTCGCCGTCAGCGCCCACATGACTTGGGTATGCGCAGCGTGGTTGGCGGTTGGCGGTTGGCTGACCTCTCCGTCGGACGGAACGCCGAGGAGTTGGGGCTTGCTGGGAAACCTGGGGCAAGTCACGCGTGGGAACGCGCAACCGTGGAACTCGCCGTTGGCATGTGAAGGCTAGAGCACATGTCCACGCCTGATGCTAAGCCTGCCTAGCCACAATCGTAAATCTCGAACATCGAAGACGCAATACATTTGCTGCGCGACTTCTTCTTCGTCTTAACTCTTGCAATGTTCGTTGATGGTCCAGCTCCACGATGCTCGTTATGGCAAATCATCCCGCCCAGGCATCATAGCCCGATCGGTCTTTGCTCGCACGACGGCGACAGTCAGCGGGCGATATTGCCGTCTTCGGAATTGACTCTCGCTCCAAAACCATGTCAGAGCATCATCTTACACCGACTTCCCACGCTGCTCCGATGTCAAGGTATAAGACTCTGCATTCAAGATCAATCGTGGTCAAACCTTGGAACTGCTCGGATTTATATTTCTCGGGGTAGCTGTTGCCGATGCGACCAGGTGCATCTCGGTACATCTCGCGCGAGTCGACGTTGAGGACCGAACAAGACATCCGTTATACAATATATTGCCAGCTGCTCATTCGCACTCAATTATCTACCGGGTTGGCGCTGCAAACTTGGGCTTAACGGCGCGTCCGATGTATCGGAGCTACAGGGTACTAGGCCCGGATATCGCAGGATATGTCAATGTGCACCTCGTTGGTGGAGGGCAGACCATCTGTAGGCCTCGTCCCCTCTTGTTCTCCAGTCCTCCTCTCACATACAGCTAATTCACCCGTGTACACCACTCAATGGCATGCCACCGACTTTGTCGACGAAGACTGGCTGAACATCAAGTATCCAACGAAAGCACCCACAGCAACAGCAAGCATAACCCAACCGTTGTACGTCATGAAAAGTAGCCTACACACATCAGCCCCAATCTCCAAACCCAGTCCCACCAGGATGAACTTACATGATGAAGAAGGAGTAAAACACCTGCACAGCATACAAAACAGCCTTGATAATCTTCATCTGCTGCTCGGCACTGCGCCCCACACCACCGTTTCTCCCTGATCCAAGTAATGAGCTAGATTCATCTGCATCGTCTTTACACGGCGACGAAAAGGTTAAACTCAGCGAGTGTTCCCCAAGAAGTTGTGGTTGATTGAAGATAGAAGAAAAGAGACCTCCCTAGTCTCCTACTTCTACGACCTTGCCTCTTCTCGTAGTTGTACTTGCTACTACTACTCCGGTTGTGTATGTGTGTATGAAAGAGGTAGACTCACCTCTAGGTCCCTCCATGACGCCTTTGGAGTAGGCTTCGTATCGTCGCGAGATCTCTCGGATGGCTTCGTAGCCGGCGGTCATGAGGACGACGGCGAGGAGCGAGAAGACGAGCGAGGTCGTGCCGGAGATGTGCCATGAGGGGAAGACGATGCAGAGATCGGTCGTGTCCCAGGTGAACAGCATCTATTCGAGCGACATGTCAGCGTATCGTCCGATACTAGGAGGTGCATCACCATACGTTCATGTTGCACTTGGGTCCGTCGCCGCCCATGCCGGGCATGTCGTGGCCCATGTGGCCGTGGTCCATGTGCGAGTGATCCATGCCCATGTTGTGTTTTGCTTTCGAGGTCGGTTGGTGTGGTTGTTGTTGGATGCTGCGGAGGGGATGGGGAAGCTATGCTCGTGTCTCGAGATAGGCGGGTCGAAGAGCTGCATGTGATGGCACGCGTCGCACCAGTGATCGACAAATGCACGCACGAGCCGCGGTTCCGCGGGGCGAGAAGCTCCCCACTTGTGCTGGACCCTTGATGATTACATCGTCGACTTTACATTTCAAAGCAGACCAAACAAACTCGTCGCGCTGACTTGAGGAACGAGGTTCTCTTTTGACGTACACATCAATCCAGCATGAACACGACGCGATCATTACGGCCGGCCATCAGGCTCGCGCAACGCGCTTCGCGATCAACACCGCGAGCTTCCGTAACACTCCCACAGCGCCACTTCTCGCAATCACAACCGCACCGACAACTAGGTCCACCATTGAACATACCAAAATGGTAAGATACATACATATACCACCCCAGCTCCTCTCAGCTGCTCCCATCCCGTCCTGCCTCAAACAAACCCAACTAACAAACCTCGCACGCAGGGTTTCGGAGAACGCGCACATGCTCAAACCGCCGATAAAC